TGGCATGCCATGTGCAGTGGTGGGATTCAAATTTGTTTACTATTATTTGTGGGCGTGGCTTGGTGAGCGTGGCAGGGGAAGAATACTGGAAAATCTCCATTCCCACCCCACTCCAGGGGAAGGATACTGCAAAATTCCCATTTCCTCCCGATCAGCTGCAACTCAGGAGGCAGAGAATAGATGGGGCCAGTCAGAGGTGGTATTTACCGGTTCTCTGAAATACACAAATTTTCCGCTACCAGTTACTCCAGAACTGGTCAGAACCTGCTGAATACCACCTCTGGCCATGTGACTGCTTTGCATAATGACACTAGCCTGGCCCACTTAATGATCCAATTGTGATAACTAAGTGCCAAGGGATGTGCCCTCTCCCTGCTCCGCTAAGGTGATCCACTAATGATCACGAGTGTTTTTGTCAGATTTGAGGTCCATTTCTCCAGGATTAGGGAAGAAACAGAACTTATAATTGGTGAAAAATTTAGTGAACACCAGCCTTGGAAACCTTTCAGAAAGTTGCCATTTGCTAGCATTTTCCCCTTCCTTCTGAAAGGCCCAGAAAGTTCAGAGAAAAGAAAAATGCTAGCAAACAGCAACATTCTGAAAGGCTCCAAATGCTTATGTTTACTAGTATTTTTACCAGATTTGTAGTTTGTTTTTCTAACATGCACACTTCCTGAGTGGAAGGGAGGGGAAATTCCGTGACAAGCTGAAGACATAGACCTTATATCTGATGTTCTCTACACTTGCAACCTTCCCTTCTGGCTTCCCAATTGCCTTTCTGGGAAAGCCAGCAGAGAAAATTGCATGATTGCTGGGCATTAGGCAACCAGTTGTAAATATGTAAGTTTCTCAAGCACCCAAAATGAGGTCATTTAACGAGAGAGGTTGGCACAATGTTTTACAATGGTGCAAGTGCATTTCCGAACTGACATGACGGCAATTTGGCTTCCTAAGAAACCAGATTCCCTTTTTATTTTTAAAGAGAAATACTTAGATACTTAACAAAATCATTTTACAGGTGTCATTCCCTATTGGATTGTACGGAACTCCTGGGGACGTACATGGGGAATAAACGGCTATGCTCATGTTAAAATGGGTTCTAATATTTGTGGTAAGTTTGGATTCTGTATAATTGTATAATCATTATTGTCATTGTATTTAAATACAANTGTTTTCCGTGCCGTTTTCAGGCTGTTTTCCGGGGCTCCAGCATCTGCGAAGACCATCTAGCCAGTGCACATGTGCCTGCCAGAAACCAGAAGAGCAGCTGGCGACGGTGTGCGTGCCCACAGCGAGGGCTCTGCATGCCACCTCTGGCACACGTACCATAGGTTCGCCATCATAGTCCTTTCTCTCCTATCCTTTCCTTATTCTATTCTTATTCTGTTCCATTCCATTCCAATTTTCTTTTCTATTTTTATTTTCTGTCTATATTTTATTTTATATTCTATTCCATTCCCCCTCTGTTCTATTCTATCCTATCATTCCATTCCCATTCAGCATGTTCTACTCTACTCCATTCTATTCTATTCTACTCTATTATTTTGCCTAATCTGATGCTGTTCAAACGATTGATTAATCATGTGTCATTAAGTCATTTTCAACTCCTGGTAAGCATACAGATTTTTTCCCAAGGTGGTCTATCCCTAATGTGCCCCTCAACAGTACACCTGTCGTCATTATAATTGAAGCCATCCACCATGACGGTCATTTTCTCTTTCCTTCCACCTTTCCCAGCATTGGAGTCTTCTCCAGAGAACTGGGTCCTTGGATATGTCTGAACTTTGAGTGAGAACTCGGTCAATGTTTTCAATGATTCGTTGGTTTGTTTTCTTGGTTCTTCTAGGCATTCTCAGGAGTCTCCTCCAACATCAATGATCAAAAACAGCAATGCTTTTTCTATCCTGTTTCTTTAAACTCCCAGCTTTTGCTTCTAGAAAGCGTATGGGGTATACCATAGCTTGCAGATTCTGATCTTTGTGGGGTTGGGGTTCAAGGCATTTAAATATCTTCTCTGACACCTTCATGGCTGCTCTACCAAAAGTGTTATCTGTAAAGCATTTATTGACTGCTTGTTCCTTTGTTGTTGATAGATAAAAGGTAAAGGTTCCCCTTACATATATGTGCTAGTCATTCGCTACTCTAGGGGGCGGTACTCATTTCTGTTTCAAAGCCGAAGAGCCAGCACTGTCCAAGGACATCTCTGTGGTCATGTGACCTGCATGACTAAACGCCGAAGGCGCATATAACGCTGTTACCTTCCCACCAAAGTGGTCCCTTTTTTTCTACTTGCATTTTTACTTGCTTTCGAACTGCTGGGTTGGCAGAAGCTGGGACAAGTAACAGGAGCTTACTAAAAGGCAAAATATGCCCACCACTTCGATACAATCACTATCATTTGTAAGGCTACATATTCTTCCTGTTCAGGTGCATTGGAATTAGTTTTCTGCCTAATTCCTCTTCTGAGTCTACCCTGATTGAAACATTTCACTTTGAAGGAACAGGCATGAGACAACTAGTTCAGGTTGCCTTAAGATGCTGCACCAGAATCCTGGCTTTTCAGATTCAAGTCCATGCTCAGTTGTGGAAGTTCCCCAGATGAGTTTAGGTCAAGCACACCTTAGTTCTACTTACCTCACAGGATTGTTATGAGAATAACATTGAATAGAGTACCCCTATGCACTCCACTCTCCTGCTTTGAAGGAAAGCTCGGATTGAAACTAATGAATGATTAAGCCAAAATAACAAATGGCTGCAAATAAATTACAAGCCTTCGTTGGTAGTACTTCCTATTTAAATCAGTAGGGATTAATTCTAAGTAAACATACATAAGACCAGGCTGCAGAATAACAAAGGCGTCTGAGGCCGTGATAAACATTGAAATAAGAGTTCTTTGGAATTGTTTGGAATGACACACACAAGTGCTGATTCATCTGCAAAAATTTGTATTTTAAATCTGATTTATAAGTTAGTTGGGAATTAGAGTTGCAGAAGATGGATGGATTTAGATCAATGCAGAGGTGGTATTCAGCAGGTTCTGACCAGTTCTGGAGAACTGGTAGCGGAAATTTTGAGTTGTCCCGAAAACTGGTAAATACCACCTCTGACTGGCCCCGCCCCATCTATTCTGTGCTTCACAAGTTGCAGCTATGTAATCAGAAGGGAAAGGAAATTTTGCAGTAACCTTCCCCTGCCACGATCACCAAGCCACGCCCACGAAGCCATACCATGCCCACCAAGCCACACCCACAGAACTGGTAGTAAAAACAAATTAATCCCACCCAGTGTACCAATAAAGTAGAATATTTGTAGCTCAAGATTGAAGTGAGGGGTGGGTCCTTGGTGTTCCTTGAACTTGATTGTTTTCTTGGAGAGCACTGATAGTGTTTCCTAGTTTGGATAATGAAATGTCTGCAAGAAAACAGCCACGGTCAGAGTACAGCATGGACCCCTCAGTATTTTCAAACTTGGCAACTTTTAAGATTTCAATTCCCAGAGTCCCTCAGTCAGCATGTATTTAGATTAACATGCTTGTGGGGTAGTCCTATTTGGCTGGATTCACACATTGTGCAAAGCTTCTTGTGAATTATATTCACAGTTCAATCCCGCCAAAAGCTGAAGAACATTTCAGCGGAGCGGCTTTTGTGACTCCAGCCTGTTTCTTTCTCAAAATTGTTGGGTAGTCATTGTTGGCTCTGTGTGAAATTTGTTTTCAGGTTTGTGGTGTATCTTTGCATTCATGGTTGTTTTTATAATGCTGCTACAACTGGTCATTGGCCAGAAAATGTAATTTATAAGCATATGAATACCGTATTTTTGGAGTATAAGACTCACCTTTTTCCCTCAAAAAAGAGGCTGAAAATCTGAGTGCGTCTTATACACTGAATACAGCATTTTTGCCTCCCAAAACCCGACCCCCTTCACCAAAATGGCCGTTCATAGCCTTTAGGAGGCTTATTGGATGCTCCTGGGGGCTGGGGAGGGCAGAAATGTGTGAAAAAGGGCTAATTTTTTGCTCAATTTTGCCTCCCCCAGCCCCCAGGAGCACTCTACAACCCTCCTAAAGGTTATTCATGTCTTTTTTTTAATGACAAAAAACAAAAAAAACAGGCCTGTTTTTGTGAAAAACTGGTCTTTTTTGGGAGGTCTGCAAAGTGCAAAAACTGTTTTTTTTTATTTGCCTCTTCAAAATCTTGGTGCATCTTATATTCCAGTGTGTCTTATACTCCAAAAAATACGGTACGTATTGGGCTGCAATGGCCCAAATCTCTCTGAAATCAGTGTGTGGAATTAGTCAGGATAAACCATATGGAATTGTTCTTAGAAATTTTAGGATTAATGTTTCATTACATTGCCCTACATACAATAGCTTCTACATTGTTACATCCGGCCATCAAATTTAATTGTTTTCATATATGCTAATGGTATTCATTTTGTTATGGATGGAAAAGACTGAACCCTGCCATTCCTGATAAGGTAATATTTTTCTATTTCATTTTAGAGCAAGTGACATTTTCTCAAGTACCCTGTTTTCCCCCAAAATAAGACCTCCCCAGATAATAAGCCCAGAGTGCATGCGCTAAAATAAGCCATCCCCCAAAATAAGCCCTCCCCAAAAATATTGCAACACAGAAGCAGCCATGAGGTGATCATGGTCGCCGCCTCCTGCACCTCAAAAATAATAAGACTTCCCCTAAAATAAGGCCAAGTGCTTATTTCGGGGGGTCAAAAGAAAATAAGACCCTGTCTTTTTGGGGGGGAAACACGGTAGTTCAAGCCACTAAATCTTCTTAAACCATTGTTTGCAAATGAAACGATTTCCCAAATACTTAGTAAAATGAAATCTATACTTTCTTTTTTTAACCCAGTTCTTGTTCAATGAAGATCATAAAGAGGCTGGCTATTACAGGCTAACTACATAGGCTAGAAGAGATTAACATGATTCTGCTTTTACTTGATTAGAAAAAATGTCTGGTTTGATTTTTTTTCTTTTATTTTCCTCTCAAGAAAGATTCCTAAGATTAGTTCACACACTGTGCTGAACCATCAATTAGTTAGCCACATCTTAGCTAATTTTTCTTCTTAGCAGGCAATTAAGAGACCAGATGGGTATTTTTAAGGCTTAATGGAGCTATCCTCCAACACCTGCTTAACATTTGGTCTCTCCCAATCCGATGACCTCATGGGCAAGCTTTCTGTAGTCTTCAGAGACCACATTGAAGAAGAAAGGGTGGGGCCCACCACAAGAAAGTTGCCCATTGCTTTATCTCAGCAGTAGCTGAGTCCACTGTTCCTTCAAGACAGAAATTCAAAGCTATTGTGGAAAATCAGATGCAAGCAGAAGAATGAAATTTAAGTGCAAACTTTTTCATATAGGAAACAAAAATCAAAGGCTCAGATAGTTGAATGGCCGACTTAGTAATAGCAATAGCATCTTATATATAACTTATATATTATTGCACAATACTCTACAGCCCTCTCTAAGGAGATTGGCAGAATTAGCCTACAATACTGCATTTTAACCACCTTATTACCACAGCTCTTCAATAGAAATAGTCCTCAAGTTACAACAATTCAACAGTTCAAAGCAGAGATGGTATTCAGCAGGTTCTGACCAGTTCTGGAGAACCGGTAGCAGAAATTTTGAGTAGTTCGGAGAACTGGTAAATACCACCTCTGGCTGGCCCCGCCCGCATCTATTCTCTGCCTCCTGAGTCCCAGCTGATCAGGAGGAAATAGGTATTTTGCAATATCACATCTACCAAGCCATGCTCACAGAACCGGTAGTAAAAATTTTTGAACCCCACCACTGCCCCTTCC